AAGAAGCAGTATACCCGCTGTAAGTATTTTATGGTCGCATTAGGAAAATTAAAGTTTCAGGATTGATACAGTTATTAATTCTTCCGCAGTCAAACCATCGTACTTGTCTTCTATTTCTTGTGTTTATCAACAATGTTTCTCATACGGCCAATTGTTAGCGCCATTACAGATGTACGTGGAAAAGCGCCCATTTATGCGGCCCTTTATTTCCTGCCGCTTTTGACATCGATACACGCGCTTGCTTGCGGGCTTATTTGTAAATATTTACAATTGTATATTGTGTAAATAACTATCCTGGTGATATTTCCTTTTGCAGATTGGTTTTTTCCATATTTGAGTATTGGAATCTCTATGATAACAAATGCGATACATTATTCGGTCAAGTTAGACCAGTCCTTTAAGGCCTTGATACGCTCGTCGTTACTAGAAGTAAAAAATTTTGTTATCATTTGTAAGTTCACACTAAAATCAAAGATATATTTTATAATAATGGTCAATTAAAAAAACAAAATTTTGCTAATTTTAGCTGTACATTGGCTTTTGCTGGCCTATGGAATCATCGCTTTGGGCCATCACTATGCGTTTTTGTGCCTCATACCATTCCCTTCGATTTTTTATATTCTCACTGTGCGGTTTACGGATCCAGCTGAGTTCCGTGAGGTGGAAGTGCGACAAAATTAGTTTATATTTAGCAATATTTCTCTTAATATTTGTCCAAGTTATGTGGCAATTTATACATTTATGTATTTAAAAGTTAAATGTTAAATAGTTTGTATAAAAATAGCGTAAAGTATTTCAAAGTTTCTCGACTTCGATTTTTTTCTCAACTTCCTCTTCCTTTGATTTCTATCTCATCTGAGGCACCCTGTACCAGAGCAAATTCTCCATGTAACAAATTTGTCGTATATTTGGTATACCATTAATATAATTTTATACATAATCACATTTTTAAAAACGGTTCAAAGTAATAAAAAGTTTAATGGATAATATGCTAATTTTATAAATGTAAAACTGTCGTCACACTCTGTTAACACGTCTAAATACTTTTGCAACATTTGGCAACGCTGCTCCCGTCAGACGAATATTTTCCGTAATTTCTCTTGCTCGAAGCAGTGATTTGGTGTGGTGCAGATATAGAACATTGCGATTTTTCGGTCATTTTTGACCAAGATAATCCCCAAGGATATCATATTCGGTAATTTGTTTTGCAACGTATTTGAAAAAAGTGAAAAATCTTAGTTTTCGATTAATTAACCAGTGGTGTTTTAAAGCTGAAATTTCATATCTTATCGGTGTCGGTGAATGGAAAAAATCCACTCAGATTCGGTTGAATGTGTGTGTAGGGTGTGCTCATTCTGATATTATAGAAAAAGGGCGAAGCATATTTCAAAACTTTGTGCTGAAACGAGACA